GGGAGGTCATGGGCCATGAGCACTGACCCCCAGGCAGAGCCAGAACAACACGAGGGCACTGCCCGAAGTGATCAGCAGCAGCAGCTCTGGGCTGAAAAATCCTGACATGGATGGAGATGCACAGTGCCATTGTCTTCACCCCAAATCTCCCAGATTATGCGTAAAGATGCTTCCATGGATTGCTGGGAGGAAATCACCTACGCAGCTAATGAGCTCCCTGCAGCACCTGCCAGGAGCCCAGCTGCATGTCTGTGAATATGTTGGGCCCAGATCTCTGATACGAGGAGAAACCATGCTAATTATTTCTATAGATGGACGCTACTTGTGCTGTTCTTCACCCCTCTGTGTTGGTGGTGATAGTGGGCCTGCAGTGCTTAGTTCTTTTAGTGCATTGGCCACGCCCCTCCAATATGCAGGTCGCTCTGCCAGTCTTTCTCTGCTGCCCACGTAAGGCTACCTCAGGACCTCGGTGGGCATCTGGGCTCCGGTTCATCTGGGCTCTCGATTTGACCACAGCTTCCAAGGGTGGCTCCTCTCTGCAGAAGGAGCCAGGACGCTGGTCGCTCTCCTCTCAAGGTCCAAGCAGATGGATTCATCTGCTGACACTGTTGCTCTGGGCTGAACAGATTTGAATTAATTCGGTTTTAGGACACCACAGAACATCAGCTGTTCCATAGGCCTATAGGGTAAATAGATTTCTGGGGATAATCAACTCATGACATACTTGGACTGAATTAATAAAAGGAGTTTGTTGTAATAATAAAAGTAACACAAGATCCTTCACCTGGCAAACCCTCACCCCCAAGTGGGAGTCAGAGCCCCTGAGGCTCTTGCCCCACGATGGAGTGTCCCACGTGGGTGACAAGGGCTGAGCCCTAATGCCACTCTGGGGTCTCCTCTTGCTGGGAAACCTCCTTTCACTTCTCCGGGGGGCGGGGGTCTCAAAACTCTGCTCAAAGGAGCCCTCCTTCCTTAGCTTCTTGTTAAAGGGCTAGTGACCCTGGTGGGCCCACAGACACCAGCCACCCAACCCAAGGCCATGCTCCCAGCCACACAGACAAGACCTGGCGGGCACCCCACTGAGGGGCAGGGGAGTGACAGGGACCCAGGGGAATAAGTTCCCTGCCATGCCTACCCTGCCCCGCCTGCCCCTATGCTGGAAATCACCGACCCCTCTGCCCATCCACCTAGCCATTTCTTGAGGGTCTTCCAGTGCCAGGCTGGACACTGTTGGTGAGTGCCCAGTGACCTTCAAAAGAGTAGTTTGCCCATTTGTGAATGAGGACATAGAGCTGAGGGAAGCCCGGCAGCTCAAAGGGCTCGATGTGGCTGTGGTCAGGGTTCAAACTGCAGGTACACCGCACACTCTGGCATGGAAATGCCCGAGGATTCGGGTCTGAGGGCTGAAGTGTGAGAAGGAGGGAGCAGGTGCAGGGTTCCCCTGCCCAGTCCCCAGAGCCATGAGAGCAAAGGGGAAGGGACCTAGCTGCACCCCTCCAGCAGGATGTCACCGAGACGTGTACCAACAGAGGGAAGAAGGGTGGGAGGACAGGAGGAAGATGAGGACAGAAGGCAGGAGAAAAGGAGGCAGGAGAGAAAGAAGGAGGACTGGGTCTTCCTTCTTCTTGTCCCCAGAGAAGGCAAGGTTTTGAGTAAGTTAGTCAGAGAGACGTCAGATTTCAGCATGAGGAACAGAGAAAACATCTCTTCTTGCAGTTGCATTTTTTGGACGTTTTTGTTCTCAGCTGGGTATCAAGCCAACAGTATTCTCCCAAGCAGAACACTGGGGGAATCTCCCCCAAATAGGTCCAAGGGTCTATTTCTCAAGACATTTGGAGAGGCCAAGAACTCGACAGTCTATTTCCTTTCAAAAGAAGGCTTCTCCCTCCACTGGCCCCCTCTTCCCACATACTCTGGACATAGCAGTGAGTCCTGGGCTCAGTGTGTCTCCTCCTGGCTGCCCAATGACATGTAGGTCAATCGGGATTTTCAAAAACCTACCTTCAGGCTTTCCAAGGCACTCCCTGAGGGTCTGAGTGCCGCCCAGCCCAGGGAGGGGTCGAGTGGGGATATACACTGTGGCAGCCGTGAATTCTGCGGTGAAGCCGGAACATCTAAGCAGGGACGCACCCAGCCCAAAGCTAAGCTCGGACCTGGCCACTGCCTGCTGTCGCAGGTGGGCTGGGGAGGGGATGAGAGGCAAAGATTTAGGCTGGAGGCTGAGCACCTGCATGTCATGGAGAGTCCTAGGCCCAGCGAGCTGCCAAGCCAGCCCACAGCCCAGGTCAGAATGGCAGAGGGTCAGGAAGAAGAGAGGTGAGTGAGAGCCCATCAACATGCTTACGTGTATGTGTGCACCTGCATGCACATGCCTCCAAAACTCACACACACGTGATCACAGAGGTACACACAGGCATGAACACAAGCACATGTGTGCAGACACATGCACACAGGAACGCACCATCAGACTTCATTCCGTCTGTGTCTGGATCTGTGCCTGGAGGACGGCTGGTTTGGGGCTTCGGGAGCCCCACACCCTCAAAAGTGGCACCGCTGCGGACCCAGGACACGTGAAGGCGCACAAGCGGGCGTTCCCATGGGCACACAGCTCTGCTGCTCGCTGTGTGGTAAGGTCTCGTAGCCCGCTGCTTCGTGGTATTCTCACACATTTAAATAAAATATCCTGGGCTTTTTGTTTTTTGTTTTTTAAGATTTTATTTATTTATTTGACAGAGACAGAGCAAGGGAACACAAGCAGGGGGAGGGGGAGAGGGAGAAGCAGGCCTCCCCCTGAGCAGGAAGCCCAATGCGGGGTTCGATCCCAGGACCCTGGGATCATGACCTGAGCCGAAGGCAGGCGCTTAACGACTGAGCCACCCAGGCGCCCCAGAAACAATAAAAACTTAAATGTAAAAAAAAAAAAAATCATTATGAAAATATTTTATTTATTTATTTATTTTTAAAGATTTTATTTAGTCATTTGACAGAGAGAGACACAGCGAGAGAGGGAACACAAGCAGGGGGAGTGGGAGAGGGAGAAGCAGGCTTCCCGCGGAGCAGGGAGCCCGATGTGGGGCTCAGTCCCAGGACCCTGAGATCATGACCTGAGCCGAAGGCAGACGCTTAACGACTGAGCCACCCAGGTGCCCCGGTTTTTGTTTTTAATCAACACTACAGACGCCATATGTGTTCCAGGGACTAGGGAAACACCTTCTGTTTCTGCAGGGTGTGGGGTGTGTTGCCCAGTTTTACCTCTGACAGCCTGCAGGTGGGCGCAGACTTCCATCTTCTTTTCAGGGAGTGGGCCTCGAAGCCAAGTGTCTTGTATTAGGGGCCGCACCCCACTTCCGTCCCCACCCTCGCCCAGCTGTGTACACACTTGGCATCCTTCTCTGCACTGCTTGGCTTGGCTTTCGTCTGACCCCTGGAAAAGCATATTCTAGTCCAGAGAAAACAAACAACCAGGTGGCCGCCTGGAAGCCGACCCTCAGCAGGAGCCCCAGCTGAAGGCAGGGCTTGATGGCCTCGACTCTGGCTGTGTGCAGCGGTGGGAGGCCCCCAGCCCAGGGGACAGCCCTCGGCGATCGGCCTGCGTCTCTGTGCTGTGCCGTCTGAGCGGCAGCAGGCCCCGGAGGCCCTCCCTCCGTGCTCTCGACCCCGAGGGATGCAGTCTGAAGCCACGGCCGCAGAAGGGGAAGTCAGCAGAGAGCTCGTCCCGCCCCAGACCTCCTGTCCTCACGGTGTGCTGGTGGGGAATGGACAGCTGGAAAGACACGCACGGGTGGTGGCTTCACAGTTTTACCAAGAAAACAGAGTCACCTGCAACACGCTGTTTCTGCATCTTCCGTCCTCATTCAGCACGACATCATGGCAATCATCCAGGCCAACCGGAGTGTCAGTCTGAGTGGCGGCACGATCGCCTAGCGTGTGGCTGAGACATCATGCATTTAACCGTTCTACCAACTTGGGCACCACACCCCTCCCTGCACACACATCTCCGTGCACTGTTGTTCTCATTTCTGTCCGATGGAGCTCACGAGTGAGCGCACACACGTATATAAATACATGCACGGGGATAAGTGTATCCACATATATACAAATATATCCACACCTACAGACATATATCCACGTATGTAAAGGTACATCTATCCACACGTAAGTGTGTATGGATATCTACCTGTACACATATATTTTGGGGGAGGCAGCAAAGATACAGAAGAATAGAAATGAAGTTCTGTTCTTTTTCAGCACTTACACACACTTGCCAATTAAAAGCCTCAGTTTCATGTTTATTCAAGAGGCTAAAATACCTGGTATGTTTATATGAAGGTCTGAGAGATTAAAATATCTTTGTTTTATATACTACCTGGTTTTTCCCGGTGAAAACTCTTTCAAAATGCCTGGGGACATAACGTGCTTGCTGGTTTCTCTTGTTTTGCCCTTTATTTTTCTGTCTCTTGCTGAGCGGGTGGCGAGGACAAACGGAGAATCGAAAGCGGGGTGGGCAGAGGATGAGGACGCAGACCGAGGAGGGGCAGGGAGAGGGGCAGGCAGGTGTGCTCACCACCACGTTCCCTCAGCCCGCTGCTCCCAGAGGTGGCTGTGTGCATCTGCCCCCTGCCCGTGTTTATCTTCCAGTGAGTTCTGATCCCAGGCTGTGGGTGCCAAGGGCCTCACTTTAACACGGTGCGCATCCCCGGCCAACACCACTGTGTTGGTGTCCTTGGCTCCTCAGACAAACACGTGCATGCCTCATGTTCTGGAGCTGCTCTGCCCATGGTGAACTGTTCAATCCGAATGGGGCCGTGTTCTCTTGCTCTGTCTCCGACATTCCAGGTTGGCTGCAAGCTGAGCCTCGTGTTCTTCCAGTATTGCATCATGGCAAACTTCTACTGGCTCCTGGTGGAGGGGCTATACCTCCACACCTTGCTGGTGGCCATATTCTCCCCCAGCCGATGCTTCGCAGCCTATCTCCTGATTGGATGGGGTAAGGACTGTCCTCCCCTGTGTATGCCCGATGCCCATCAGCCACCCCACCAACCCTCTAGGTCCTTGATTTCCACCCCCTCACCTATAAATGCAGAACTTTCAGCTCAGAAAAATTCTTTCCTACCCCTGTAGGATGCACTTCCGGTCATATTAGGAAGAGCTTTTCTAGCATGACTAGAGTTTCCTATAGGCAGCACCCTCATATTTCTAGGAACCAGGAACCTGGTTTAAAACTGCTATAAAGTCCCGTTCCTGGGGCATACCCTGTGGTGGGAAAGTCAGAAAGAAGTGGCATGGAGGAGAAGGGCTTCCCCGCCAGTTAGCAGGACCTTCGATAGCCAGAATTGGGAGGGGCATAAGCAGTGGGCCCCCCAGGTTCACAGTGAGGAGCACCCCTTACTGTAATTGCCATGCTCCCACACTGTGGTAACAACACTCAAAATGCACGGTGACGCCTTGCAGACCTGTGAAGCTTTAGCTTTCCCGCACACGTTTATCTTCAGTGCTTTGTAAGGCATGAGCATAAACTTCCGTGTGTTTACGAAGCATTTCCACTGGGTCCTTCCATCAGAAAGCCCCTGTCCTTGCTGACCCTGGTGAACGAGGGTGCACACGTGAGTCTGTGTGCTGTCCCAGTTAAGCAGCGCAGGTTGTGGTAACCAGGTGTCTTTCTGCAGGCATCCCCACCGTCTGCACAGGGGCGTGGACTGCAGCCCGGCTCTCCTTAGAAGACACAGGGTGAGTGCTGGGTCCATACCTCTGCCTTTAAAATGAGGTCGAGCAATCCTGGCGCAAGTTGCTGGCATCCTTAAGTCTTCGGAAACGAGAAAGAAGCTTACTGTCCGGTTGCGAGGAAGATTTGCATTTGTAGCTGCAGCCGAGCAGAGAGTGACACAGAACACCCCACATATGAGAAGACCGACTTCATGACTGTTGGTGCGGGGGACAGAATTTGGAGAAGATGCATGTGAGGGATGGGAACTGAACCAGGTCCTACAGCAGAGCTGGGATTGGGGGACACCAGGCAGAGGGGCTCAGCACCTTAGGTGGGGGAAGCAGCGTTCACAAAAGGGAACCAAGCAAAATGCATGCATTGTTTGCCTGGAGCCAAATGCAGAGAGATGACCAGTTGAAGACCAGGTTAAAATGGCCAGCAGGAGTACAGCTCTCTGACATAGTTCTCTAAAATGCAGCATGAGCAGGGTCCAAAGCTCTTCTGTTTTATGTACACAGCTGGATCATGGCCCCAAACTCAGGTACCAAGTTCCCACCATGAACGTTGTGCCTCATAAAGGGCTCTTGGGGTCTACCAGTTATCTACTACTGGTAACACACCACCCTCAACCCAGTGGCTTACATAATGGAGTCCATAGGGTGCGTTTCTGCGCACTGGCAGCGTGGGCTGACTCCCCTGGCATTCCTGTGGCTTCAGTCCGGCTTGCTCACGCACCGTGGGCACCTGCTGGGTTGGCCGAGGACTGGCACGTCTGAGGGTTCCACGCGCTCCACATCCTATTGCCAAAACCAGCTAGGATTCAGAGGCGAGGGTTGGTCTCTGCCCTTGCTGGGAGGGGCTTCAGAGCCTCACTGGGGGGCGAATAATGGAGACATTGCAAGCGCCCTCTCCCAGCTTCCTACCGGAGACAGTGCGTACGCTGGAAACCAGCAGTGAAAACATTGCCAGACAGACATTCCTAGCTGTGCCTGCCTCAGTTATTCCAAAGACATTTCAAACCTTCATTCAAGGTACAGATACAAACCATTCAGGAGATGAGAGGAAATTAATTTTCAGGAGAAAAACTCCCCTCTGTTGGCCAGAGTGAGCATGAGCTACACCAACTCGCAGGTTATGGGCCTTCCCTGGGGCTTGGTCTCCCCCTTCTCCCATGGCCTGGAGTTCTGCTTTTGCTCCATCTCTCCATCAGCAGACTGTCCTGTCAGGAAGAATAACATGAAACAAAGTCACTGGATAGGGACGGGTTGCATCCGGATCTGTGAGTGCGGAGCACCTCGGCCTTACCGCGGCACTCGCGGGCCCTCAGGGGGGCCACGTAACACACAGGCATGTAGCGCGTGCGGTGGGAGGAGCCAGCTGGTTTTGCCAGTACCGCGTAAGGGCTGAGAGGCAGCGAGCTTGCCCTCATGCACTTGGTTTGTGGATCAATCAGAGGTAACATGATTTTCCTTCTCTCTTCTCAATAGGTGTTGGGATACCAACGACCACAGTGTTCCCTGGTGGGTTATACGGACACCGATTTTAATATCTATCCTAGTAAGTAATTTCTGTATTGAAACATGAGCTATCCATTGGGTTGCACACTTGGGTAGAGAGGGAGCCCACTTCCTGTATTAAATATAAATAGCCCCGTTCTGCTCAGCCTTCTGAGAGAAGACCCACACACAGCGGCCCAGCTCCTTCCATCAGTCCTAGACTCGGGCCCGGTCGGGACGAAGGCTCAGTGATGGCGGAGGGGTGGAGGGAGAGAGGCGTGTTCTCCGGCTCGGGGAGGGACCCTGCAAGGAAGTCACAGCCACGCACTGCACAGCTGAATCACACTGTCATTTGTCCACCTCCCGTCTCAGAACTGGCTTGCTCCTGTAGCCTGGGCTGTCAGGGGACACAGTCAGCTCCAAGTTGGGGGGCAGCCGCAGGCTGGGCAGGGCTCCTGCACTTCTGTCACAGAGCGGAGGAGAGACGATCCAGGCGGGGGGCTGAGCCACAGACGTCCCGGCTACATCCCCTCCCTGCAGGGAAATCCCACACAAACATGTGGTCTCTCTTTGTGCAGGTCAATTTTGTCCTTTTTATTAGTATCATACGAATTTTACTGCAGAAGTTGACGTCCCCAGATGTCGGTGGCAATGACCAGTCACAGTATAAGTGAGTATGTGTGTAGGTCTGGGAGCCGAGCTGCCCTCACTACCCTCCCACGGCCTGGAAATCTAGGGTCAGGGAGGACGTGGGTCTGCACATGCAGCAAAGGCCCACGTTCGCCTCCTTTGGGTGCGGGACTGTGCTCGTGGCTAAGGCAGCTGGTGTCTTCTCCAAGGGAGGGTGCTGCCATGGTGGTCATTCCAAGCCCCCGCCCCTGGTTTCAGCACGGATATCCTCTATGGAAGCACTCTGCCTGCTTGCCTGTTTTGCAATCTGACTTCTTCTCCTTGGCCACACATTATTTGTATTTTATGCTTAATTCTTTTTTCCCCATCAAACCACAGGGTTCATGCAGGCACCTAACGCCAGGCCTTATACTTAATAATAATTCATGTTTATTCGCTGAATGATTACATGAAGATGGTTATCGTCACATCAATTCAGTGGGAAAGAGAACAGAGGTTAAGTAACACGCCACAATCATCGAGCTCATTAACGAGGACCTGAAGACTCTATGAAAGAATTTAAAGATTCTATAAATTTCTGTCAAGAATTTATAAAGAAAAAGTAAAGCCCACAACTTTATTATAAAGTAGAACTAGTTTAGCATGGGATAGTTGGTCCTACCAGTGGGAGCCTCAGGTTCAGATAGACCAGTTTGGAATCACAGCCGCCTGGAGCTGTGTGACCCTGGGCAGGTGACCTGACTACGGCCAGGTGTGGACCTGGAAGCTGGACAGGCAGCATCACTCATAGCCAGGGGCCCAGTGCTGGGCTTACACACCAGCTGGAAGCCTGAGTGATGTGACTTCACTGTTCTGGGCCTCAGTGTCCTCATCCGTAAAGTGGAAATAATAGTCATTATCTCTAAGGCTGGGAGGGTTAATACAGTTAATATTTGAAAGACATTTAGTGTCGGCACCAGTAAGTGTTGTGGGGAAGTCTGGTGCACGGATCCTTCTGACCGTGCCCTAGGGCACATAAAACCCAAGGCATCCCTTTTTTTGCCCAGTCCACTCAAGGAGGCTGCACAGAAGGCCAGACCTAGTGATGGGATTCCACATCAGACCACAAAGGACAAAGCCATGTTACCCCATCTGAGCAGCATCTGTACTGGTCCTTGAGCCCACTTGCACCTGCAACTCAGGGACAGGACTGCACCTGACTGGTCCCTGAGCCCACTTGCACCTGCAGCTCAGGGACAGGACTGCACCTGACTGGTCCCTGGGGCCCACTCGCACCTGCAGCTCAGGGACAGGACTGCACCTGACTGGTCCCTGGGGCCCACTCTCACCTGCAACTCAGGGACAGGACTGCACCTGACTGGTCCCTGAGCCCACTTGCACCTGCAGCTCAGGGACAGGACTGCACCTGACTGGTCCCTGGGGCCCACTCGCACCTGCAGCTCAGGGACAGGACTGCACCTGACTGGTCCCTGGGGCCCACTCACACTTGCAGCTCAGGGACAGGACTGCTCTCAGTTGCTCTTCAAAATCAAGTTTGATTTTTGGCTAGTCTTGTTTAGCTTCCATGCTGACCTTTTCTTTGGGTTTTTTGGGAGTGTTCATTCAGTAGGTCTTGGAGATATATGCTTTTATTTTAGAAACAAAATTAAGTAGGAAAATAGAAACTGTTCTTTTTCCAGGATGACAAAAGAGGCAGAGCCTGTCTGTGGTGCCGCCGTCTGGCTGTGTCTTGATGTCTTTTCTCGGCAACTGTCTTTATAACCGTAACAAACCCCCCGAACAGAGTCCCAGGGGCCCAGCCTCATTAGAAACTCTTCTCTAGAAGTGAGCATGATGTACGTAAGGGAATTCAGGCAGACTCTTTGTCTCGCACTGGACTAAAGGGCACAGCTCCCTACACAACCCACTTCTGTTCACCAGGCTAGCGCTGAGCCGGGGTATGAAATGCCCCGTAAGGTTAAATGTCTGGATCTATGAGCAGCCGGCAGTGTGATGCTCACTGACGGGCCTTCCTTGCTGATGAGGCCCAGGTCACGCCCTGCTGCAGAACGGCCTGGACTCCTGGGGTTTGCACAGATTGCCTGAAACGGGACATCCCACTTGTTGTAAACACCACAGGATGTGGTTTTTGTTGTGAAGGAAACCAGGAGAAATGGTCACATTTCTAGAACTTACATCCCAGGCTCTGAGTGCTAGGTTTGAGGCGGGTGCCTCAAAAATATGTCAAGAAGTTCATGACTTTTTCTAAGTGTTGGGTAGGGTCAACGAACAAGAGAAAGTGAGGGAGGTGCAGAGTGGAGCCTCCTCGCTGGGTTCCCTCAGGATGAGGCTGCAGAGTCAATGCAGAGGCTACCGGATGTTCATTTAGGGGGTCTTGACGTGCACACACATCACCAGGTGGCCTGACTTGGCCTGGGGGCCAAGCTCCTCCTTGACGAGCCCCCAGGGGACCCCAATGCTCCTGTCCATGCTGGAGTTGTGAGGGTCAAATCTGGCCGCACGCTGGAATCACCCAGGAAAATGTTAGAGCTACCATGCAGGTCCCGCCCGCCCACAGGGACCTGATTTAATTGGAGTGAGGAGGCATGCTGGACTGAGAAGTTTCAGAAGTTCCCTGGATGATTCTAGTGTGCAGCAGTGAGAGTCCCAGGCTCAGAGCAGTGATTCTCAAAGTGGGGTTCCTAAACAGCAGCTGCAGCATCTCTAGGAACCTGATAGACACACCCCAGACCCACAGAGCCAGCAGTCCGAAGGTGGGGCCAGCAATCTGCCTTCTGACGTGACCTCCAGGTGGCCTGGTGCCGCTGAGGCTTGAGAAACGCCAGGTAGAGAACAGAGACGGTGTTTGTTCAGGGCGTGGGGAGAGCAGCTACAGGAAAGGGGGACGTGAGCTCGGCTGTTTTACTTTCAAGCATAGAATGCAGTGAGCAGAAAATCTGCATTTTGATCAGGGAGGGTAGTAACTCTGATGGACAGAGCAATTACACCTGGCTGGTCCAGGCCACCCAGAGCCCGGGCCACCTGCCCTGCTGCCCCACTCGGTGCTCAGGCCTCTGCACCCCTGCTGAGTCTGCTCTTGCGATCGGAAAGCCAGGCCTGCCTCTGCCCTGCCAATGCTGGTTATGGGACACCGCACTCAGACCTGTGTCGCTGCTGGGCACCCGCCAGGAGGTCTTGTAGGAGCTTTGCTGTGTTGTGAGGCCCAGTCATTTTTATCACCATGCTGGCACATTCTGCCCGTCGTTGGGTGGGGGAGGTTGGTTTTACTTAAACTTGTGAGAAACAAGGTTCAGACCGGTGAGGCCAGCGTGCAAGACTCCTGAGCCCACGGGCTCCCTGGCAGCACTCAGCGTCCCTCTCTCTGCTGCAGGAGGCTCGCCAAGTCCACGCTGCTGCTCATCCCGCTGTTTGGAGTTCACTATGTGGTGTTTGCCATGTTTCCTATTGGCATCTCCTCCAAATACCAGATCCTGTTTGAATTGTGCATCGGATCATTTCAGGTTCGTGTGGGAAGGGACTGTCCCTCCCCCCCAAGTTGGTGAGTGGCCTCTGACGATCCTTTCTCGCTTGCAGGGCCTGGTGGTGGCGGTTCTGTACTGTTTTCTCAACAGTGAAGTAAGTGCTTTGTCACGTCTCAGGGGACATTCGGCTCGTGTGGGATTCCCTAATGTGGCCCCCCAACCTGAAGGAGAGCTCAGGTCTTCTGTCCGGGCAAACCCCCTGCCGTCCCTTCCAGCCCCGTTCACAAAGCCTGTCTCTCCACACCAAGCATTGTTGGTCGCCCTCCCACAGGCCAGCTCAAGAAAGCTCCCCGGCCGGGTGGTGGAGAAGGACCCTGCCACTCTGCATGGTCACTGTCTTGCTCCTTGACCCCGGATATCGGGACACTCAGAACCCAGGGGGGAGGGGCGGGCACATGGATGGGAACCCTGCTTCCTGAGCTCCCTGCCCACAGCTGTCCGCATGTACGGGCGCGAGTCCCTCTGAGCCCTGCCCTGCTCTGCTCATTTCCCACATGCCTTCACCTGCCCAACCTTGTGTGGCCAACCGCCCCCGATGCTCCTGCCTGCACCTCTGCCCTCCCTCAGTTCAA